GTTGGACGTCCCCTGAGGGCTCCTGGGATGAGGGGCCCCCCAAGTACACAAATTTCATGCACCAGGCCTCTAGTATAACTATAATCATGAATCCTCCTAAAAGAATACTAAAAAATAGAACAGAAGATATGTGACCCAGCCTTTTAAGCACAAACCACATTAACTAACATCTTCAAGTCAATACTAATTGTACTTACCAACAAGAAAGTTAGCTAGTGGCAGTGGAGGCCGTTTTCAGAAATATTTAACGTTGAAAAGAGTCCCAGAATCACAAGAAAAACAACAGCATGCTGCTTGCTTCCACAAACTGGTAAAGAACAGTTAGGTTTACCACGTCGGACAAGAGAAGTCAGACGGTAAACCATGTTCTGATTATCTTAACTCAGCCAGCGAGAACCTATAAACCAGTGAGGGCATGGCGCGCATGAACCATCGGTTGTTGGTTTGGTCACTGGCATCTACCGCACTTCCACAGCCACTGACAATCCTTCTGCAAGAATGGCCAGAAAGGCGACGAAAGGAAAATCAGAGAAGCATCAGGGCAAATCTGTGACTACCATTTAAACATAAGCACCAAGCACCTGTGCTTCTGAGGATGGACTAGTAAGTGGCGTCATCGTCATCTAGTCACGTGCTGCTCAGCGATGTTTCTGTCAACGAATACAACAGGGGTCCCCTGAGACTCTCACGGAGCTGAAAGATCCCTCTCACCTCATGATGGTGCAGGCATCGTAAGTCACAGCACAACACACCGCCAGCGGGCTGGTGATGGGGCGGGTACTGAGCTGAATTAGTGCAGTCCATAATACTAGATAGTGGTAACGAACGATCCTGCTACTGGTTTACCTATTTACTATAGTGTACTTTTACCCTTATCTTAGGATGGACTCTCTCTGCTTACAAAAAACTGTTTGCCACAAACAGAACACCTTGCTACACTGGCAGCAGCCTCACACGTCTTGTGTTTGCCATGTCCCTGGGTTGCATCATTTTCCCTGATTTCATCTAGAGTTGTTCTGTACAATAATATGCTGTGCTGGCTTGCACCCATGGTCGACAAACTGAGGCTCATGAGCCACACGCGGCTCTTTGGCCCCTTGAGTGTGGCTCTTCCACAAAATACCACGGCCTGGGCGAGTCTATGTTGAAGAAGTGGCGTTAGAAGTTTGAGTTTAAAAAATGTGGCTCTCCAAAGAAGTTTCCATCGTTGTACTGTTGGTATTTGGCTCTGTGGACTAAGAAGTTTGCCGACCGCTGTTCTAGGCCATGTGATGTGGGTGCGGGTAGGCTGTGCCATCCAGGGCTGTGTACGTGCACTCTCTGAGGTACGAACAATGAAGCCACCTAGCATCGCCTCTCTCTAAAACGTGTTTCCGATGTGGCCATGCGTGACTGCATTAGAGAGTGTGTTCTTCCTTTTCTTTTGATATAGATGATCCTGAAGTCATTTGTTTATAGGTGTTCTTACTCTACATAAAATTACAACAAAACAAACAACGTCTCTTAAAATCCCCTCAATGGAGGGTTAACGTGAAGGTATATAAGTGCAGAATCCCTCTCAAACGGGAGCCACATGTTACTTCCGGTGGTTCGGTGTCTGGTACAGAGAGGGGACTCACTCATTTTCAAAGAAGAAACACCTATTTGAAGACAGATACCACACCCTTTCTCGAAATCCTTTCTCGAAATCCGTGGCATTCCCTCCACAATAAAAACACACGGAGCATGTATGATGTGCCACACCTTGTGTTAACAGGAGCATGATAAGTTATTAAAACAGAAGACAATGAAAAAAAAACAAGAAAAAAAAACAATGCCATTAGTTTGTTTTTTTAATCAAGGCTATACCTATGTGGTTTTGAATATTCAGATTAAAGGTGTAGACATGAGTTGACTGCTTCGATTTTTCAAAACCACTAGACACGTGGCATCACGTAATTGAAATCTGGAGGCTCAATGAGATTTTTACTACAGGCACGCCTCATAAATACTGCAGATTTGACTTCAGATCACAGCCATAAAAAGACTGTTGCAATTAAGTGACCCTTGATGCCTTCAATTTGTAGAAAACTCAACATCTGTGCAGCCAATAAAGTGACACAGTAAGAGGAGGCATGCCTGTCTCCAGGTGGATGACAAAGCATTCAAATGAAGCACAGAGCACTGAACACGCGAACAGCTAGAAATAGATTCGTCAATGCCTGACATCCAGCAAGCGGTCTATAAGAAGCCGGTCCTTACAAACCCATGTGTCCGAATCCTGTGTGGGGAAGCACGTGGCCACATCAGGGTGTTTTCCGGGTTCTGGGCTGAAAGCTGGCCACGGAAATCAAACCGGCAGGTGATTCTGAACGCTCGGAACAGCACATACCTTTCTGAGCAGGTAGATAGGCAGCAGCAGGCAGAGATAAAACAGCAGGGGAGACAGAAACGAAGCAACATAGAGAAGTCCCCCGAGGAAAACTCAGAGGGAAAGCTCATGTGAAAAATTGGGCTGAACAGAGACACAGCGGCCACGGATAGAGGAGGCTCCAGGTCTGGCCAGAAGACCCGGGAGGAGCAGTGAGGACTTCAGCCAGGGAGCACCAGCAGAGCACACACGCAGCAAGGGTGAGCAGGCGTGTGGTGGAAAGCGAGAACCACCAGCTTGACGCTTCTTCAGGCGCCTATGTGAAATGACAGAACTAGAGGAGAAGGCAAGAGGAACCACTCCACAGGATTCTGGGTGTTTTTTTCTCCTCCACCAATGATCAAACCCCCCCTCCCGGCCTCTCTTCTCCTCTGCAGGCTCCTGACGCTGAGGCCAGCGATAAGGATTAGATACTTTGGAATCAAAAGGGCTGTGGTGACGTGGGAAGAGGCCAAGGAATCTGCAGGCGGAATCCTGGCAGATACCACCCACATTTCACTCCGTTCTCCAAGGCCGAGACAGATCCTAAGAGATTAAAGTGGCTTGAGGCAGTGGTCGGCAAACTCATTAGTCCACGGAGCCAAATAGCAGAAGGACAATGATTGGCATTTCTTTGGAGAGCCAAATTTTTTAAACTATATAGGTAGGTACATTGTTGTTAACTTAATTAGGGCACTCCTAAGCTGGCCTTTGCGAAAAACTCAAGGGGCCAAAAAGCTGCAGGTGGCTCTTGAGCCGCAGTTTGCCGACCATGGACTTAAGAGAAATGACATTCCCTAACCAAGGCACAGTGGAAACCAAGTGAGGGGCGAGGGAGGAAACGTGAAGGTCCTAACAAAGGTGGCCTCCGGGAGTCCATCCAGAGCAGACCACCAGCAGCTCTACCGTAAAAGGAGAAATTAAAAAGTGCCTGTGGTCTCTGCGCTGAGAAATCATTTATTTCATGTTGAGCTTTAGTGCAATGAAAAGGAGAAAAAAAGGATTTAATATTACAAAAGGGGAAAAGCAACTACAAGAAAGTATATAATGGATATTCTCACCGTTTATATTCCCTAGAAAAAGACCACAAACACACATGTTTGCAATGTGCTGAGGAGATGATTATTATTAATTCTGAGAGGGGGTAGTGGGGAGGAAAAACCATTGAAGTTGGGGCAAGAATGAGAAAGTTCCCACAGAGACACATACACTCCAACTTCCTGTTCCAGGCCCCCAGCCAGGATCCGGATGGCTCCTTGGGCCACAACATCTGATCCCACCCACCTCCCCTCCCGTGAAAAGGAGTGTTTCCCTACAAATGAGTAGAGAAATCTTATGCTCAGTCCTAAGAGTCTTGTCCCCTAAACGCTGGGTAGGCAGTTCTGCATAAATACTTGCCAGACTGAACATTATTTTTCCTCCTGGGATCTAGGTACTGTGTCCATTGAGAGGCCGGTGAGCCACTTCTGGTCCGTATCCCTAAGACACAATCTGTGCAGCCGTCCCTCCACGCATGGGGCGTCCGTAGAAGTTGTCAAGTTCCCAGGTGGAAGGCTGTGGTGGCTGGTGGGCCTAGCCATTCCCGAAGGGTCACGAATGGCATTTCAAGTTCTAGGTGGCAAACTGCATGAACTAGGCTTCACAAGGACAGCCCATCTCAAATGGGCCTAAAGCTGCACCCATTTCCTTTAAAACACCCCAGCACCACTATGGGGCCCCTTTACCTGGGCAGCCAGCCAGCCGGTCCAGGGCAGGTCTCGGATGTTAAAACCCCAGGTGATGTTTTATATGTAAATGAAGAACCCGCAGGGAGCGGAAGGCGACTTCAGGGACTCCCGGGGGCGGCGTGCAGAAAGTGGGGAGCCCGGGTCTGTCTGGCCGGCCGGGTGCCGGGGACCCTCTGGCCCAGAGTGGATACAGGGCTTCCGCGGAGCGGCCGTGCCAGGCTGTCTCCCAGCTCCCGCTCCCCACGCCCTAGGCGCACCCGATGCCCCGGGGCTGGACGGGGAGCCGCGCAGCCCTAAGGATGGGGGTTCGCGGCAGCGGCGGCCCCACCCCGCACCCCGATGCCCCGGGGCTGGACGGGGAGCCGCGCAGCCCTAAGGATGGGGGTTCGCGGCGGCGGCGGCCCCACCCCGCACCCCGATGTCCCGGGGCTGGACGGGGAGCCGCGCAGCCCTAAGGATGGGGGTTCGCGGCGGCGGCGGCCCCACCCCGCACCCCGATGCCCCGGGGCTGGACGGGGAGCCGCGCAGCCCTAAGGATGGGGGTTCGCGGCGGCGGCAGCCGCACCCCGATGCCCCGGGGCTGGACGGGGAGCCGCGCAGCCCTAAGGATGGGGGATCGCGGGGGCGGCAGCCCCACGCCGCACCCCGATGCCCCGGGGCTGGACGGGGAGCCGCGCAGCCCTAAGGATGGGGGTTCCCGGCGGCGGCGGCCCCACCCCGCACCCCGGGGAAGCTCGGGTCTCCGCGCGGCGGGAGCGCGGACTCCGGGCAGCTGCGCGCAGCTGGGCGCCCCCGCCCCGGCCCTTCCGCCTGGCCCGGCCCGGCCCCGGCCCCGTCTGCTGCGGCCCCTCCGCGAGGCCGGGGGGAGAGACCCGGCAACTTACCGGGCAGCGCTAGGGCGCCTGCAGCGAGGGCGGCGGAGGGTGCGCGGCTGCAGCGGGTCGGTCCGCGGGTCGGATCGGGAACCGGAGCGCCAGCCGAGGCGGGACGGTCCACGCACCGAGCAGAGCGGCCTCGGCGCTGCAGAAAGCGGGCTGGGCACGTGGGCGCCGTCCTCAGTAGCCACGCGGGAGGCGGGGCGCGGGGCTGGGCGGCACCGCCCCCTGCACCCACCCACCCATTCCCGCCCCCACCAATCCTCACCCCCACCCCCACCCACCCACCCCCCCTGCTGCGCCCCCCCCGCCCCGCCCCCGGCCTCCCTCCCGGCCAATCCCCGCGGGAGGCGGCGTCCCGCGCTGCTCTTCCAAGTGCGGTTTTTGTGCCGCGTTTAACTTTCCATTTTTCAGAAGGTTTTGCAAATAGGGATGTAAAGGTAATACCATAGAATAATGATCGTGATTAACAGATGCCCCCTGAGTGTGCTTTGTCACATAGCACCGCTCCAGCAGTCACCACCGCGAAGGCTTCTACAATAGAAACCGGCGGCTGCTGTTTTGAAAACCCCAGTAACGGGCCGGGCAGTCCTGACCGTTCGGGGCTGCGCTGGAAGGAGAGGACACTGGCCGTTTCCAAGAGCCAAGAGCGCGAGGGGAGTTGCACCAGGGAGGGCTCTCCCGCTGCGCGCCGCTGTTGACTTTGGGAGGCTCTGATAAGATGAAAGCCACAATGTGAAACTATGTTCATTTTCCTGCGAAAGGAGGCAAAACACGGACACAGAATTCAACAGTGTTTGAAAGTTCTACTTTTTGTTTGAAAGTTCTACTTTATTTTGTTTAAAATTGCGGTAAACTCTTTATGCATATACTACTAATATTATTAACGTTGGCAAAGTGACAAAGTCAAACTAATGCATATTACACACACACACACACACACACACACACACACTTAATTTTTTTTAATTTTTAAAAAATTTTTTAATTTTTTTAGAGAGAGAGGAAAGGAGAAAGAGAAACATGGATCCGGCTGCCTTCTGCATGTCCCCTATCAAGGATTGAGCCTGCAATCCGGGCATGTGCCCTGATGGGGAATCAAACCGGTAACCTTCAGGTGTACAAGGTGATGCCCAACCAACGAAGCCACACCAGCCAGGGCGCAATACAGATGTATAATATTTTTAATGCCATATTCTAAATCATTCTTAGCTCCTTTAAGACATGTGTTCCCAACAGAATATAACGAAAGGTTTGAGGCTTGAGACTTCGCTCCTGAAAATGCTACCAGTGCAAACTTTCAGTGAGTATTTCTCAAGTTCATGTACACAGAGAAGTCGTCATTCACCACGTTAAAGAACTGGAAGTCAAAATGGCATCATGGCTACAAGGGCATTATTAGCTGCTAGAGGCCTGGTGCACGAATTCGTGCACAGGTGGGGTCCCTTGGCCTGGCTGGTGATTGGGGGTACAGGGGGGTGAGGGGCCTGGCTTGCCAGGGGGAGAGACTGCAGGAGGCTGGCTGTGGGAGCACACTGACCAAGAGGGGGTAGCTCCTGTGTTGAGCGTCTGCCCCCTGGTGGTCAATGTGAGTCACAGCAACTGGTTGACTGGTCATTCGTTTGTTCAGTCAGTCAGTAGCTTAGGCTTTTATTTATACAGATTCCAGTGAGTGTCCTAAGGCAGTGGTTGGCAAACTCATTAGTCAACAGAGCCAAATATCAACAGTACAACCATTGAATTTTCTTTTGAGAGCCAAAAACCGACTTCTGTGCATGGGCCACAAAGTTCAATCACACTGTATGTGTACGCACAAGGTATTTTGTGGAGGAGCCACACTCAAGGGGCCAAAGAGCCCCATGTGGCTCTCGAGCCGCAGTTTGCCGACCACTGTCCTAAAGAATAGAGACTCTGTAGATATGAACTTATTTTTACAGCCTAAAACAGATTCCTTGTGCAAATATTCATTAATGATGACAAGGAATGATACCATTGAGTCTGGTGCCAAATCCAGTCACTCCCACAAGGGCTAGGAGGCGTTACACAAGAGTGCGAACACTCCCCAGGGCCCAGAAACATTGTCTCATTCCTAAGGCTGAAGGGACCGGATCTAAACTTTTTCACCTGTGTTTTTCAAATAGAGATTGCTTTTTTGTTTGTTTGTTTTTTGTTTTTTGTTTAAGAGGTTATATTCCCTCACATCTTTCTATTTAACCGCCCTGACAGGGCAGTTTGTGATTAGGCTGCAACACAATGGTTTGGGATAAACGATTTGACATTTGGAAACTGGCAATGTAGTCAGAATACCAATCTGCGAGTTTATCTAGCAATCTGCCCGTCGGAATTGGGCACTTCCTGGAAACAAAAGCACACTGCGCTCATGTGTGGTGAATCATAAAAGCTACGTCATCTCTGAGCAAAATGAGTACGTCCTTCCACACTGGCTCCATGGTTGATGAGTATCTTGACTTGCTAGTCTTGGACTTCCATATGCCTTTTCCTGTTTGAAACTATCGATTAACGGAACCCCCTCAATCAGGTCGTCAGTTATTTCTCAACTTTTAAAATGTCTTGATGTAGGAAGAACAGAATGCCCACAGATCTGTATGAGTCTCTAACACAGGTTATGGCAGCGAAGGGAAATCAGAAGAGACTGTTTGGAAACAACAAACAGTATTTGAAAGGCATTAAGCTATTTTGACTTCATCTTCATTCCCATTTCCTTTGGCACTACTCCATTCCTTTTGCTTACAATGGAGTTAGCAACTCCCTCTTATCTGAATAATGCTCTCAACCCCTTTTTCCACCTCTCCTTCTCTGGAGTACCTCAATCACTTTTTTTTTTTTTAATGTTTTTATTTTTTTTTGAGAGAGAGAGGGGGCGGGGGGAGAGAGGTGGGGTGTGGGAAGAGAGAGAGATTTGTTATTCCATGTATTTATGCATTCATTGTTTGATTCTTGTATGTGCCCTGACTGGGGATCAAACCTGAAATGCTGGCATATTGCGCCAACACTTTAACCAGCTGAGTACCCAGTGATCCCTTTTCACTGCCATCTGTCAAGATTCTGGAATCCTTAGGCGTGAAACAGAAATTCCAACTTAGTCATTTCAGCTGGAGTCATTTAGGTTGTCACCTTAGATTTCAAAAGCACTTATGGTTGTCTGAACTCCTAAGGAAATTCCAGGGAATTTCAAAACACTTTCTTAGCTGAATAAATTTAATACACTCTACTCCTTCACCTACCAAATAAATACAACCCAAAAACCCATGATCACAAATAAGGAATTTACTTGAACTTGCAAGACTGAATGAGGTAATGCTTACGAGTTCTAATTTTGACTCCATAATCCCCATGCTATTTCAGCAAAGATGAAGCTAAAATCCCCAATTTCCCCCCAGATTGGTGGATACTGGATATGGATGCTTGTGTTGTTACCGAATAGGCTTGAAAGAGAAAAAGGATTGGACTGGAGTTCAGGCCCCTAGAGTTTCCAGGGCTTTTAGGCCCCCACTGTTCTCCACTCCCTTTCAAAAATATGTAAAATTTAAAGGCCATTTTCCACTGGACACATTTCATATTTGCCCATCCTTTAAGGTAAGCAATAAAATATTGAAAAAGTGGTTGGAAAAATACAATAAGACCTTATAATAACAAAATGATCTTTTAATTCCTCCACCCCCTCGCCCCCTTGTCCTTTAACTAAGACCAAAAAAATGGTTTTGCAATAGTTTTCAGTCCTGAACCCTATGACACTCCCCCCCTCTCCCCCCTTGGCTTGTCTCTAGTTTTCTTTACCTTGGCCATTAATCAAGCATCACCCAGAGCTCCACACACCCTTGCTAATCTCTATTGTCTTCTCTTTTTTTTTTAATGTTTAATGTTTAATGTTTAATGTTTAATCTTTTTACATGTGTCCTTATTCTCTCATTACCTAACAACTCCCATTAATACCCCCCCCCCCCCCCCCCCGTTGAGACAGAATCCATTGATTAGGCTCATATGCATGCACACAAGTCCCTTGGTTGATCTCTCCCCCTTACTCCCACCGACCCCTACCTTCCCTGAGGTTTGACGCTCTGATGACGTTTCTTAGTCTCTGGATCTCTCCTTCTGCCAGGATTCCTGCTGGGTCTGTATCTGCTCCAAAAAGTTGGCTTCTCAATCCAAATATCTTCCACCAGTCTGTTGCTCTAAGGACTGGAGATTGGGGGGTGGGGAAGAGGGCTTAGAAAGAGAGTGCAGCCAATGTAATTCCTTCTTTCTTCTCATTCAGGCCAGACAAATGTTCTAACTGCCCTACAGACTGCTTCCTCTGCCTCAGACTTTCTCCTGCTTTCTGTCCCTTTCTGTCTTGCAGTTGTCTCCCCACCCCTCCACGGCTCTCCTGAGCTCTTTGCTTTCTTCCTACCATCCTGGTAACTTTTTTTAAATTTAATTTATTTCTTTTTCTTTTTCTTTTCTTTTTCTTTTTTTTTAAATTAAATTATTATCTGTATACATATTTTAACATTCCCCCCCCCCACCTTCCATACAGGCCCTCCCTCCCCAGAATTTCATGTCCATTGGTTGTACTTATATGCATGTATACAAGTCCTTCGGTTGATCTATTATCTCCCCTAGATCTCCCTACATTACCTGCTGTAATTTGACAGTCTGCTTGTTGCTTTACTGTCTCTATATCTATCTTTTGGATCATCAGTTTATAATGTTCTTTATTATCCATAAATGAGTGAGGTCATGTGGTGTTTCTCTTTCATTGACTGGCTTATTTCACTCAGCATGATGCATCCCGGTAACTTTAAAATATATATATACCTATGTATTGATTTCAGAGGGGAAGGGAGAGGGAGAGATAGATAGAAACATCAGAGATGAAAGGGAATCATTGGTCAGCTGCCTCCTGCATGCCCCCTCCTACTGGGGATTGAGCCTGCAACCCAGGCATGTGCCCTTCACCGGAATCAAACCTGGGACCCGCAGGCCAATGCTCTATCCACTGAGCCAAACCACCTAGGGCCTGATAATTTTTCATCCTGCTTGTCAACAGGGAAGTCATAAATTTAAATTCTTGAATCTTTCTTATCTCCACTCACCTTCACGACCTCAGTTGTTACCCATTTCTAAGGCTCAGTCTATTGATACTTGGT